TGGATATGGTTTTGCAACAGAGTATGACATAAAGGAACACTGGATAAAGTTATACCACAGGGTATGACATAAAAGAAGATCGGATAAGGTTATACCACAGGGTATGACATAAAGGTTCATTGGATAAGGTTATACCACAGCGTATGACATAAAGGTACACTGGATAAGGTTATACAACAGGGTATGACATAAAGGTACATTGGATAAGGTTATACCACAGGGTATGACATAAAGGTACATTTGATGAGGTTATACCACAGGGTATGACTTGAAGGTATTTTGGATAAGGTTATACCACAGGGTATGACATAAAGGTATATTTGATAAGGTTATACCACAGGGTATGATATAAAGGTACATTGGATAAGGTTATACTACAGGGTATGACATAAAGGTACATTGGATAAGGTTATACCACAGGGTATGACATAAAGGTGCACGTCAAAAAGCATATACTACAGGGTATGACAATATAACACTAATGGTAACTTATTAGTTTCTTGATAGATCGTCGCCGAGGAATGTCTCAGTGGCCATTTATCGATTCACAATTTCAGCAGGGCAGATGTCACACTTGATTCAGTACTGGGACCATTCTTATTTCAAGTGTGCATAAATAATGTAACAACTTTCAAAACTATCTGTATCACTGGATTTAGCCTATGACACATAGAATGGAACTTCAACTACTGATACGGCTGAAATTAAAAAAACAAATATGAATTTCTAAGCATTCTTTTTGCACGAACAACACCGTTTTCAACGATTCATGAAAACAGCGGAATTCACAAAATGAAAGAAGCAATAATTAACAGTAATTCTGTTACTGATTTTAAAACAAGAATTTGTCCAAATGTACGTACAATTGTCATCAGATACACCACACTAAGACCCAGTAGTAATAAGAATATTGATGTGTTTTGAGTTTAGGTCTGACATTGTTTCATTTGCATACGCCCTAATATGAAGTGATTTGTCATTGAAAATCGAAATCTTAAAACAACCTATATGAAGAATGATTTAATTGTTAACTATTTCCATCAATTTATAGTGTAAACTTAAATATTTCTATCGAAACCATTGAGGCCTAATTGACCATACGTCTCTGTTGTATTATGTTTTCCATGTTGCATTTATATGCATGTATATTTTCACAGACGAAATGTTTTAGTTATAGTGTATATGATGTAAATATCGTATTAATGTATGTATTTTAAATCAATGATATTCCATGTATAAAACACAGTTTAGTAAGTATTTACTTACTCTAAAACCTTACTTAAATTGAGTATGTTCATCATTTGTCTAAGTTGCACTTACTAGATGTGCTATGACAGTAACGCTTCATAAAATATGTAAAAATGTTCCGCTATGCAAATCACTAGTGGCTGTTCTGCACGTTACCCGACACAATCACAGTAATATAATAGTCATAATACATATTGATGAAAACACCCACGCACGCACGCACCCACTCATGCATGCACGCACTCATGCACGCACACAAACAGAGACATAGTCGCGAGTGATTGCTGTGTGGTCAGGCAGTGAATTGCTCATTCCATCTAAAAGTCACAGTGTACATATGATATCTCACGTGTCTCAGGTCTTGCTGTTGATATTTACATATTACACTATTCAATTGAATAAATGAATTTTGCACTTCACAGAACTCCCATGTGATAACAGCCGACTTGGTTGCCTCTGCAACTTGTTGATTGTCTTGTCAGAGAGTGGTTGCAGCTATCTTTGTTAATCGCGGTTATACTGTTGCTGAGCTAATCAGATTGTGTATTTGGTTTGTATCATGGTTTGTTAATCACCTGTCTATTGTCAGTGTTAATTGGGGCATTGATCCTTTACATCGCATGTCTAAGGTACTATTAATACAATTGTGAAGTTTCTCCACGTTTTATACTACTACTTTAGCCATATTTAATGACACCCTGATCACAGGAGCGCCGTGACACATAAGGAGGACATCAAAACTTTGACCTCAATCTCTGTACACAAGGAAATATGTCGAGGTTTGTGAACAATTAACATAGGACACAATTTTCTTGATTATGTCAATGTAAGGAAATATTAACTGAATACCAGATCCTTCGGCAAGTTGGCGAGGGAGTAATGTCTCAACATGAAGGTGAATGTTATCGGGGTTGCGTGTGTTTTCGAAATAAATTGTCGAAGATAATGCTTGAAAAATATGCTTGAGAGTGTTGAATAAAATGAAACAAGATTCTAAAGCTGTTTATTTTATTTACGTAAACTCCCAAATTCGGAGTGGTGTGAAAGCAATAAAGTTATTAGTTAGGTCGGAATTCATTTTGTTCCTAATGCTACTTGGTGTTCCCAGCGAAACTGGGTCTGATTTACTATGAGAATGTATGCAACCTGTTAAAGGATTGTTTACAAAAGGATCTCAGTTGCCAAGTCCTTGGTCTGCGCACCACTGGTCACTCTGTAAAGTCAATGAGGCTAATAGAACTATGATAGATTAGCTATGAGTGATTGAGTATAGTTTTACGCCGCTTTTAGCAATATTCCAGCAATATCACGGCTGGGATTCAGTGGCATAGGGAAGGCTGCACTGGTCGGACGAAAGTGACTGATGGCTGATGGCTCGTGTCTGCTGCATATAGACAACGGAATATCATGGAACAAGTACCGTTTGGCGGGGGTTCATTGATGGCGCGGGGGTCTTTCTCAAGTGACAGACAGCCAAGCCCCGAGGTTTCTGTTTAACGAAACTGCGGAGTGTTCCTTGATTACCAAAAATAGTTAATCCACCAGATGTGATATCACTGATAGTCTTTATACATATATTATGCATTATACATGCTATATTCTCTTAAGAGTAGTTGATTTTTTAACCACAAAAGTATCTTGAATGCTGAATGCTGTTGGATTATAGTTACGTGTCAAAAACATTCACTTCATCACAGTTAGCCATGACTATGACAGTTTCACTGTATAATAAATTTTATGAGTTTATGGATGACTTATGGAAAAGCGTTCTCCGTATATTTTGTTCGGAGAATGGGTGAGTGATTGGGTGTTAAATGGAAAGGAATCATCTCTGCCCTTTAACACTCCAAACAGAAATGCCGGATTTTTCTGTGCTTTGGAATGTCATATTTGCTGTGACTAATTTTCATTTGAATTATCATTTGCTGTTCCTGGAATCAGTGCCTTCAACCACCAGACACCCGTCCTCCAACGACAAAGACTATGTGGTGCTGAAGACACATTCTACCAGTGGTCCACATCCGAGAAAAGCTATTAGTGTTACCCAGCACTAACCACGACGAAGATGCTCTTCAGGAGAGTCCTTTGAAGTGGGAACTCGGCTTGATTTAAACATATTTTGTTCACAAATGTGAAAAGGATTGGGGACAAATTATCCAACTTAAAATACCGGTTTCCTGTAGGTTGAGATAGATACGAAGTAGGGTTGGGTATTGCTAAAAGTTTCGTATTGCGATATATTGTGATATGTGTTGGCGTATTGCAATATATATTACAAAATATTGTGAAAGTATATAACACATGGTTTAAGGAAGTTAAATATCTGTTTCCTTTCTTTTGAAACAATGCCACTTGCCACTGTCAGGACTCAGATGTGATTGTACAAGAGTTCAGTTGAAAATGTTTCTAAATTGAAGACTTCGCTCTACAGTTTGGAACTCGAGAAAAAGCGTTTACAGCCGCGTCCGCCATTTTGGTTTGCCGATACCAATCTATTATATATATATATATATATGGTTTAAAAGTCACGCAAATGCAATTATATGAACAATAAACATTCTCAAAACTATTAGTGTATAATAATATAAAGAAAATACAAATGTTATTAGTAGTTTTGACTACATTGGGTGATGCGGTTCGCGAAAAGTGTACCGCAATATATCGTATTGTGAAGTTCGAATTGCAATATACCGGTTAACCGGTATTATTGCCCACCCCTAATACGAAGTCACACAACTAAACCTGTCTGCACTTAACAGATTACGACCCGTGAAGATCCGGGGTAGAATAGGTCTTCAGCAACCCATGCTTGTCACAGAAGGCGACTATGCTTGTCGTAAGAGGCGACTAACGGGATCGGGTGGTCAGGCTCGCTGACTTGGTTGACACATGTCATCGGTTCCAAATTGCGCAGATCGATGCTCATGCTGTTCATCACAATCTTGTCTGGTCCAGACTCGATTATTTACTGACCACCACCATGTAGCTGTAATATTGCTGAGTGCGGCGTAAAACTAAACTCACTCACTCACACACTGGAGTTTCATAGGAACGTCGTGTGTATTGTTTTCCGCTGTACCTTATGTTCCTGTTCTTTCAAGTGAAACACGACCCATGAAGGTCCGAGTTAGAATGAACCTTCAGTAACCCATGCTTGTCGTAAGAGGCGACTAACGGGATCGGGTGATCAGGCTCGCTGACTTGGGTGACACATGTCATCGGTTCCCAATTGCGCAGATCGATGTTCATGATGTTGATCACTGGATTGTCTGGTCCAGACTCGATTATTTACAGACCGCCGCCATATAGCTTGAATATTGTTGAGTGCGGCATAAAACTAAACTCATTCACTCACTTAACATACAAGTTAAGAGAAGTTAAGTGAAATTTAAACGTATATGGAGCTGTAAACCTAGAATTCTTTATACCGTGAGTTTATCAAGACACGATCAGTGAGTGGATAAACATAGTCAAAAGCCGCTTTTGCGAAGCTTTATAAGGCCATTCGTGTTTCTATATTTTTGCTTGAAATTTCAAGATACTAAGTTGAAATCAAAAAGCCCCAAAACGCACCCGTAGCTATCGCAGCAAGTTCGATTCAAGGCCGCGTGATACTTAAAAATATGAAATTGAAAATATTTCCTCAATTTGTCTCGAGTGTGGGAAGTAATAACTGAACCTTTTGTTACTAGCAAAACTGAACCCAAAAGGCAGATGGTGAGGAAGGTAGTTGCTTCCTACTGATCACATTGTGACGCACTCCTGTCCATAGTGTGAGTAGCCAGTAGTCAAGCTGCGACTCAAGGTGAATATTATAGATTCTCTATACAGTAATCTATAAACTATATTTTGTATTTCGATAGAAGTCATGTATATAAGGTGATATTCTTGAATCCTGCTCCAAACGTGATTCACATGATGTTATATATATATGCATGACATCATGTGAATCACACAGGATTCAAGAATATCACCTTATATACATGACTTATATCGAAATACAAAATATCCAAATGCACTAGTGTGACGTTTAATATATATATAAAACGTCATACTAGTGCATTTGGGTGTTTTGTATTGAACGAGAAGATGCCATGGGAGCAGAGAAACAGGAACTCTCTGCTCCCATGACATCTTCTCGTTCAATACAAGACATCCAAATGCACTAATATGACGTTCTATATTTATTATATACCCTCTTATGTCATCCGTATTGCTCCCCTGTATTTCTATCTTAAGTTCACATGGGTATTGTGTTGCATGACAGTGTTGTGATATTTACATATCTATATACATCCATTGTGTTTCCTAAGAATATGACAAACTATAAGAAGTGTACACATTTCCTAGGAATGACAAGTCTTTATGGATGATCAACTTCTTACAATAGCGACGTTTCGGTATAGACAATTAACAATGAAAACAAACATAAATATACATGATACAAGCCGAGGCAAGATAGAAGCATGATGAATAGGATTACCAATGAAAGCGGGGATAACTAATTGAGGGAGAAGGAGTGAATTTCATAGCATGGTAATTACGCATAGGCTATTTATACAAGAATAGTTTTAGAAATTGACATCAAAATACGAAAATGTTATACATTATAGAAATACATATCAACCAGTAGAACAACGTTTAGATTGGGAAGGGCTAAAGGGAACTGAAGAGTAATTTCAAACATACTTGCCTTGAGTTAGTATGTTTTACTTGGTAGAGGAGATTTGAAGATAATTTCTGAAAATCCTCTAGCAATTATTAATACCGTTTTATAGCTACATATTTTCACACAAATATACATGTCTCTATTTGCATCCGACCCTGTCAGAATCAAAAGCTGCAACATGCAGTATCAGATCCAGGACCGTGGTTTGTAATGTTTCCTTCCGTGATCTCCCATTTCCCTCGACCGAATATCACCCATACAAAATAGAACACTCCATAGGAACCAAAGCTCCATAAATTTGCTTCAGTCCCTCATCCAAAACTATGACCTTGATAAACTCAGATACTGTTAAAAGCAAGTTAAACAGTAATATATCGCACTACTTTCAATCTCGTTTTTCAGAAATCTTCACCACAACAGCCATGGTTGATGCCGTGGTGATGACCCTACTGTGTGCTGCTGTAGCAGGTCAGTACACATGCATCCTCATAATTTATTATTCACGACACAAGATCGCAATGCAGTCTGTATTTGTTTCACACGTGATTTTCTCACAGCCTAGACTGTTGATGACTCGGTATGTGAAAGTAATAGTCTGTTTCCTTGACTGTCTCAATGGAAGCCATCATGGGTGGTACGTCGAAAGATAATAACTGCTTTCAGGCGGTTGTAGTTGTAAGATTAACACCATGACACACGGAATTCACAATGACTCTTAGAAGGTGGTCAAATGTAACACGTTATATTTTGGATTACACTTCAAAGTAAAATACAGATTCAAGATTATACATGCTATATTCTCATAAGAGTAGTTGTTGTTTTTTAACCACTCTGTTGGATTATAGTTATGAAGGCACAGTGTCATTCACAATTTCTCAGTAAAGCACAGATTCTAGTACTTTTGTTGGGTTGTGTCCCATCCGGGATTCGAACCAACACCCTCAGAGTCAGGCACCTAATCGCCAGCACACAAAGTCAGCCGCCTAACCCACTGAGCCACTGAGCTTCCACAGTAGAAGCCCTGACTCAACACAAGAAAAGTACTAGAATCTGTACTTGACTGAGAAAGTGTAATCCCAAATATAACAAGTGTTATACTTGCTTATTTCGACGAGAATAAGAAATGGAAACGTGTTTCGGATTTATTGTCTTACATTAATATCAGTCATTTCATTGTATGTCGTCTCTTTGTTCATAGGTTCCGCTACCAGCAGTAGTTGCAGCAACTGTGACGGTAACAACGTGACCTGTGTTGACGGTGTGTGTCTACCTCGCTGTGTCAGCGTGACGTCATCTGGGGAGTGTCTCCAGTGTCGTGACTCCAGGTTCTATGGTAAACAGTGTCAACATGACTGTCCAGACACCTGTCTCAACTCTCGCTGTCAGATAATCAACACCCGTGTTGTGTGTACAGAGGGATGTGTGGCCGGCAAGAAGGGAGATCACTGTGGAGTGAACTGTCCTACAGCCTGTACACAGTGTGAACGTTATGGTGATGGTTGTACAGGACCGTGTCAGAATCCGCAGTATTACGGTCAACACTGTAGAACACCTTGTCCCTCCAACTGTAGAGGTGGATGTAATTGGATCACAGGGGAGTGTGGCACCTGTGAGCCAGGATACAGAGGGAAGCACTGTAACATTACCTGTCCCTCCAACTGTCGAGACTGTGACAGGGAAACAGGCGAGTGTATACACTGTGTTGAAGGGTACCGGGGGGACCACTGTGACAGCTGTGAACCAGGTTATACAGGGGACTACTGTAACATTACCTGTCCCCTTAACTGTAGAGACTGTGACAGGGAAATAGGCGAGTGTATACACTGTGTTGAAGGGTACAGAGGGGACCACTGTGACAGCTGTGAACCAGGTTATACAGGGGACTACTGTAACATTACCTGTCCCCTTAACTGTAGAGACTGTGACAGGGAAACAGGCGAGTGTATACACTGTGTTGAAGGGTACAGAGGGGCCCACTGTGACAGCTGTGAACCAGGTTATACAGGGGACTACTGTAACATTACCTGTCCCCTTAACTGTAGAGACTGTGACAGGGAAACAGGCGAGTGTATACACTGTGTTGAAGGGTACAGAGGGGGCCACTGTGACAGCTGTGAACCAGGTTATACAGGGGACTACTGTAACTTTACCTGTCCCCCCAACTGTAGAGACTGTGACAGGGAAACAGGAGAGTGTATACACTGTGTTGAAGGGTACTGCAAGGGTGGATGTGACGAGCAGGGAGATAACTGTAACAGCACATCTTGTAAAACAACATGCCGAGCAAACTGTAATGTTTATGACTTCACACAAAACCAGTGCAGTGGACCTTGTATCAACGCCAACTACTATGGAAAGATATGCACCATTCCATGTCCAGATAACTGTGACAAATGTGAGAAAGACTCTGCTAGATGCCTCAACTGTGCACCGGGTGTGAGAGGGGAACTGTGTAACGAGTCGTGCCCATCTAACTGTAAACTGTGCGGTCGCTATGACAATAAATGCATTGGCCTCTGTCATGACAGTAACTACCACGGAGTGAGCTGCTCCGATCCATGTCCCGTCGGCTGTGAAGGGTGTGAGAAGGACACTGGACTGTGTATCGGTTGTGCCCGGAGCTTCAGTAGGACATACTGTGATGATATGTGCTCTCCGTGTTCACAGGACACGTGCCACACAGAACATTGTCAAAAACGTATGTAACATAATTCACTCATCTATTCCTTTATACCCAGGGTTTTACCTTGACCAACAAAAAAAAATCCTGTTCATGCCTATTGTAACATCACTCTCGTATACATAGATGTTTATCACGTTTCCAAAATGAAAGTGAAGCCTCATATTATTGCCTCTTTGAAAAATATTTAAATGTTTCACGGAACGCCGGATGTGATACAGGGCTGTTTGTTGGTATCAAACAAACGTGATGTTTCGAAACACATGTCGCGCCTTGGAGAAACAATTTTTAGATAAAGTTGCTATTTTGGTCATTTTCTTTGACGTTATTTGAGATAAAACACATGTGATAGAAAACAGGCAGAATTTTTTCCATAATCATACTAGATATTGCTCATAGCAAATATCCCTTGTATTATTCAAACTATGTGATAAGTATGTGTTATGAATCACTTTATATAAGTGATGGTACACGTAGTGAGTGTTCGTGAAAAGATGAGAATATCCTGCTCGTCCCGTATCACCTGTCCCAAGCATATGTAACTGCAACTCAATGTTTCATTTGAGTGTGAGTGAGTTCAGTTTTATGCCGCACTGAGCAATATTCCAACTATATGGCGGCGGTCTGTAAATAATCAAGTCTGGACCAGACAATCCAGTGATCAACAACATGAGCATCGATCTGCGCAATTGGGAACGATGACATGTGTCAACCAAGTCAGCGAGCCTGACCACCCGATCCCGTTAGTTGCCTCTTACGACAAGCATGGGTTACTGAAGGTTAATTCTAACCCGGACCTTCATGAGTCGTGTTTCACTTGAAAGAACAGGAACATAAGGTACAACGGAAAACAATACACACGACGTTCCTATGAATCTCCAGTGAGTGAGTGTGAGTTTAGTTTTACGCCGAACTCAGCAATATTACAGCTACATGGTGGTGGTCAGTAAATAATCGAGTCTGGACCAGACAAGATTGTAATGAACAGCATGAGCATCGATCTACGCAACTGGGATACGATGACATGTGTCAACAAGGTCAGCGAACCTGAACACCCGATCCCGTTAGTCGCCTCTTACGATAAGCATGGGTTGAGCTGAAAAAAGACGGCCATTTTGTTTTTATGACGTCATCCCGCAAGTGTGTGACCTTTTTTGTGACGTCAGTAACCAATGTGTAACATGATGTAAAATAAGCGTATTGTCATATAGTATTGGAATGGAAATAAAATGTTTTTTGATGTTAATTCAAGAGTTTGCAATTAAAATTTAACTTTAAAATTTTGAGTAAAAGCATCCGAAAGTTTTACAGGAGAGCAAATATAAGTTTGTTTTCTTATTCAGTAATACAATTACACCATATATTACAAATGCCAAACCATTTCATCATTGTCCAAACATTTGACTCTTAATCCATCCTACTTGAGTTATTCAGTATAGTGAACACCAGTCCTCAACTGCTTACTATTTCCCGTATTTAATTCCGGTAACACTTAATGACGGAAGCTGACACCTGAGTATACATACATTCAATCTAGGCTGTGCGCCATTCACGTTAAAAATGATCCAGGCTATCAACAGACATACCATGTACACATGGCTACAGTCTGGCCTTTAAACTACAACAAAACGAAATTTCTGGCCAACTTGTCCGGCTATCTTTCTGGGCACAGGAAGCTGAACACATCAACCCCAGTTCCGCACCAAATGTCACCTACTTGAACATATCTGTACACACGTAAGTATAAGTCATGGTGATAAAAAAGACAGCACTAAATACTTAAAATTGTGGTCAGTTTTAATGACTGAATGGATGTGATTTTAAAAAACATAAACATCTTACACTATTTCATCCAATCACAGCTGTCACATGTCACTGTCTCTTCAGTTATGGCTTGGCTCAGCGAGCAAGCGATTCTGCTTTAGTGTAGTGATGACAGCGTAATCTATTTTAAACTGCCTATTGATACCTGCAAAGGTTTGATTTAACAAACTGCGTTCTGATATTTCGAACAAGACTGGCTTTTGACCTACTAAATAGCATCTTTAGCATCTAAATTCACCTTATATTTATATTGTAATATTCATTCTACGTTGATGTGAAAAAGATATGACGTTTGCTGTGTGAACCAACACTCGAGTCGGCAAATGAAACTCATACCACTCTTATTCATAAAATAATTGAATAATAATCACAGACCACTAAGGTCAACCTAAAGGTCACACACACCTGGGCCGGAAAGGGAGTCATCCAAAAGGGGGTGGGGTGGGGCTGAAGGGTTCAAAATCGATTAGGTCACAAAAAGGTCACACACTTGTGTGATGACGTCATAAAACAAAATGGTCGTTTTTTCTGCTCAACCCCCACCTCTACAACAGCCATTGTTATTTGAAGAAAATAGCTCTTGACGTCATCTTATCGGTTTTTAGTCTTTTAGTCGTAAAGTGACTCGTATTCATGGACTTTCTAGAGAATACCTTTCTGACCTAGAAAGGATTCTAAGAACAGTCCCTCTGTCCCACATATATATTTTGCATTTGAACACAATTATTCTAACACACTGAAATTAGGAAATGTGCGGAGTTTTATAAAACCAAAGGACCTAAATTTCAGTGCAATGCATGGTAACTACTTGGCTAAGAAGGAATCGCATTTTTGATAATAAAAGTGACGAAATTTGATTGTACGATTCCGACTATATCTTAAGCTTGTGTTCATAAATTACCATACGAAAGTGATCCATACCATACCATACCAGGAAATCGGTAAAATGGCACCAGTGACACCCTTTACAAACACGTGCAAAGGCATAAAATACACAACAATACACGGGAAAAGTAAACAAAAGAAAGAAAAGATGTGGAATTACACATTGTCGATAATAAAACTACATATCCGTTACAGGACCATTGTGGCAAGTTTCCCTCAATGAACCGTAAGGTGTACTTTTCGCACGTCAAAATGATTTCCCAAAATATCCCTTTTATTTTAGGTTCACCTGAACACACTTTGGTTATTTGTTTGGGGACACTAGCAGGATTCCTATGCTCCTACACAAGTCAAAATGATTCACCAAATTAACCCTTTTTATTTCAGGTTCAAATGAACACACTTTGGTTATTACTCTTGTGGCATTAGCAGTACTCCTATGCTGCACTGTTCTAGCCATGATCATCATATTTTGGATATATGTGAAGAGGAGGTAAGGGCTAGTACTTCTTTACTCTTAAAATGATTTTGAGAAAATGTAAGTTCAAACTGACTCAATACTTTAATGGGATCTATTTTTAGAGTCCCAGTCCCTTATTACATTAGCTGTGACAGGTAAAGAACGAATTACAACATAGATAAATACCTGGAGCTGGTTGTCGTCTTGATGCTTACATTTTGATGGACTGCAGTGTATGAGTGTTTCTTCTGACATCATCAGACCCGTGAAGATCCGGGGGTAGAATAGGTCTTCAGCAACCCATGTGCTTGCCATAAAAAAGGTGACTATCTTGTCGTAAGAGGCGACTAACGGGATCGGGTGGTCAATTTCACTGACTTGGTTGACACATGTCATCAGTTCCCAATTGCGCAGACCGATGCTCATGCTGTTGATCACTGGATTGTCTGGTCCAGACTTGATTATTTACAGACCGCCGCCATATAGCTGGAATATTGCTGAGTGCGGCGTAAAACTAAACTCACTCACTCACTCACTCTGACATCATCATGATTTTCTGATGTTAATTGACGATGTTTTAGAGTGGATTTTCCACTGCAGATTTGGTATTGTAAACACCTTTCATCGATAATAATTTTCTGTAATACGTGAACGCATATTGACATTTACATCGGATAACGGGTTTTCCGCTATTTTAACAGAAACACAGATACTCCTTTCTTCAGGAACATTTCAAGAACAATCAACAACACCAATGCTACGTACAGTGAGATAGATGACAGTTTAGTTTCACCATCACGGCCAACGAGACCGGCTTTACCGCTGAAAGAAATCCCCAAGAAAAGGAGGGCTGTCTTGGGTGCATCGGCGCTTCCCGAGATGGAGAGTGTTTCTTGCTGTGAGTCGGTCCAGAATGAATGTCATGCTGATGTTGCCATGTCTGAGCAAATCCATCACCTGACTGAAGAGACTGATTCAATAATCTTTATTGAAGAAAACTGTGATTTGTCAAATGTGAATGTAAGATATCTTACAACGGACACACAAACATAACCCAGGATGTGAATGAAACGTTTGAGGAGTGAGCGTTTTTTGAAAAATGAACTCTTTACTTATCTTCATAAACATGAAGCTTGAACATCAGTTTGTCACAATGCCTGGTCTGATGCAACTGTTCGTCACAAAACAAAACAAATCCAACTTAAATTAGGGCCATCATTATTTCAAGTGTACATGAATAATGTAACAACTTTCAAAACTATCTGTATCACTGGATGCTTCGCCTATGATACATAGATTGGAACTTCAACAACTGATACAGCTGAAATTGTTCACATATATAATTCTATGAGTTTACCTTAAAATTGTTCGAACTTTTTTTCGAAAGACATTACAACATTAAATAGTTTTGCAAACATCAGTCGGGATTCACTGACCGAAGGTTGTCAGCAAATTTGTTACTCGCCATGTTAACAAGCACTTTTGTGGGACATTTTGTGACATTGCAAACACATGCGACATGTCATAATATAAAGGCACACTGGAAAATCTCATAAAACAGAGTATGACACAAAGGTGCATTGGAAAGGTATGACATAAAGATGCATTGGATATAGTTATGCCACAGGGTATGACATAAAGGTACATTGGATAAGGTTATATCACAGGGTATGGCATAAAGGTACATTGGATAAGGTTATACTACAGGGTATGACATAAAAGTACACGACAAAAAGCTTATACTACAGGGTATGACATAGCGGTACATTGGATAAGGTTATACCACAGGGTATGACATAAAGGTACATTGTATAAGGCTATACCACAGGGTATGACATAAAGATACATTGGATAAGG